CACCACTGCCCCCTCCTGGACCGTTTCCTCCCAGTCACCCCCCGGTTTCTGTCACCCCCCCGTCACCCGACGTCACCCCTCGTCACACCGTGTCACCCCCTCACCCCGAGGCAGGGCTGGCCAAAGGGGTGAGCAGCCCCTCGCTCTCACCCCTGTGGCCCTTAGTAGGTTCCAGAGTGAACACCCTGCTCTTCTGCACCTTAAAGCGAGGTGAAAAAGGCTCAAAATTTGGACATTTTGGGCGATTTGATGCGTTTTGCACTTTGGGGGTGACCCAGAGCAGCAGCTGGGCTGTGGCTGCCTGGTGTTTCTCCCACGTGTGTCTGTGTGTGCAAACCTGCGCAAGCCTAAGTCAGCACACGTGCGTGTTCACCCAGGCATGTGCAAGTAAGAGCAGGCATGCGTGCGTGCGAGTGTGTGCAAGCGTATGCGTGTGTGTATGTGCAAGCACATGCATGTGCTGCAAGTGCGTGCAGGCGTGTCTAAGCGTGTGCACAAGCACAGGCGCATGCACGCCTGCATTGCGAGCCTGTGCAATGGTGTGCAAGCGTGTGTGTGTGCGTGTATGTGCATGCATTTGCAGGTGTGTGCAAGCCTGCATGTGTGTGCAAGCATGTGCATGAGTGCACGTGTTTGCAAGTGCCTGCATGCATGCGTGTGCATGTGTTTGCAAGTGTGTACAAGCATGTGAGTGCAAGTATGTGCCTGAGTGCATGGCAGCAAGCACCCATATACACACATGTGCATGTGTATGCTTGTGTTTGCAATCACCACATGCATGGATGCATGTGTGCAAGTGCCCATGTGCATACGTGTACAGGTATGTGTGTTTGCGAGGACCCATATGCACGTATATGCGTGTTTGCATCTGTGCATGCATGTGTGTGCATACATGTGCATGAGCGCCTGTGTTTGCGAGGACCCACATGCCTGTGTGTGCACGTGCGTGTGTGAGCACACATTTCCGAGCAGCCTATACACGTGTGTGCACGCACAGCCTTCGCCACCCAGGTTTACTTTTACCTGCATTTGTCCCGCATGATTCACGCCCCACCTGTTTCCCGCACCCTGCTGAGTTTTCCACACCCAAAATAGATCTGCTGGAAGGAGTCAGCCGCAGAAAGCGGGGGACTCCCACCACGCTGATGGGGACCCCCTGCCTCTGCAAGGGTGCAGATGTCACCACATTTCCCCAAGATGGTGGTTTTGGGGACAGGCCGACACAGAAGCCCTGGGAAGTGGAAGCACGGGGGCATTTTTAGCCTGGATCACAAACAATGGGTGTTAGTGTTGGAGGGGCCTCCGCTGGTGCTGGAGCACCCCAGGTCCTGTCGGGTTGCACCCAGCCCTGGTTGAAAGGGAGCTGGGAGGTGTTGGGGGAGAGCCCTTCGGCATACACAGGACAGCACCTCCCATCATCCTCGGGAGCAGACCCTTCTTAGGAGCAGGACATCCTCCATAGGGACAGAGCATCATTCCCGGGAGCAGAGCATCCTCCTCAGGAGGAGCAGAGCACTCTCTCCAGGACCAACCTCCCCTTGCCCCAGCAGCAGCTCCTCATGGCAACAAAGTCACCTGGCAAACAACCATAAAATAATTTGGTTGGAAGAGACCTTTAAGATCATCAAGTCCAACCATGACCTGTCTCCTACAGGTTAGGTGCCAGTTTACACCACACGGGGGGAAAAATCCAATTTTTAGCAATATGGATACTGACCCCCTTCTCTGTGGCTGCCACCCCCTTGGAACCTGAAAAGCAGCAAACCACAGCATCTTGGGAAAAGCCTGGCAGAGATGGAGCAGAAGTCCAGGTTTGAAGCACTGGAGGCCAGCAGTGTGGAGCCAAAGCCTCTGCTCCACAAAGGCCCAAAGTATTCGTGCTGCAGAGCAACGCTTCCCAAAGCCAACCCCAAGAGAGGCCATGGGTACATCGGGTGGTGTCAGTGGAGACTCAGGTCACAGTATGAGATGTCCACATGGAGAGGAGAAACTTCTGCAAAGCTTCAGCAGAGGAACATTTGGCTTATGCAGGGTCCAGTAGGAAGGAGCATGGACAATATTTACAGCCAAAATGACTCCAAAAGGAAAAAAGGAAACGTAAGACTTGGCAAGTTCTGAATATTTTTAATTGAAAGTTTATTCCATATTTTTAATTTAAAGTCCAATACTAAAAGATTTCCAGCCATAACAGCAGATCTCACTCATTTAAGACCAAGACACAAGTACAACAACCCCATCAGCCAAGAGCTCTTCCTGAGAGATTCACGACTTGGAGCTGAACATGGTTTCCAGCGTGGCAACCATCCATGACAACGACCCCACCGGTCCCAAGCTCCTTTCTTTCTCCATGGAAAACATTTTCCAAACCTTTCAAATGCAGACCTGGAGCTGAGCTCCTCACACTGAGGACAACAGAGCAGGAGGAGGACGGATCAGTCGGTCAAATCCTGAGCAGAGGTGACATCTGATTGAAGAGTAGAGCAGTGACTCTAACAACCACATGCTATTTGGTGGGTTTGAGGTCTCCTTGGAGAGGCCTCAGGCTGTCGTCTTCTCAGAAGCCAGAGGAGGTGGCAGCAGAGACGGTGGCTTGCAGGCAAGGCTCCTGCCTGGACAGCGGCAGAGGCAGAGCAACAAGAGACAGAGACACGGACAAGACCACCACCACGTTGAGTGCCAGGGCGTGGAAGGCCACAGAAGCAGAACCAAGGCCACCACACGGTGACATCCTGGCATACTTGACCTCCCATCTTGCCCAGGTCTGGATGGTGGGAGGTCAAGGTGAAGACTAAGGGAGCCCACACCTTCTCATCACCCTCTCCCCGCAGGGACAGAGTCTGACAGCAGCTTTGATCTCTATCAAACGCAGCTTCTCCAGCTGAGCAGGCACCCAGCAAGCTCTGGAGCCACCACAATGAGGCACAGTCAGACGTTCCTCCACTGGCATCTCTGGAGCAAGCCCTACCCATCTCCTGCTAACAGTAACCCTTGCATGGACTTCGAAGCCCCAGTCGAGTGTGAAAAGGAACCTTTTTCCTCTTTGGGGTCATTTATTTATAGATTTAAAGAAATTAAAATAGAAAAAGAGGTGAAGAGTGAACACTACGGGAAAAAAAAAGCTCATGGCAGCAAAGCAAGAGCAGCAGCTGGGGTGGGAAGGGGTCCCTCTGCCAGGCAGCAGCTTTTGAGAGAGGGATCGTTCCTCCTGTGTGCAGAGCAACTGAGGTCAGCAGGATTTTCCCTTCAAAACCCGCCAAATTCGTGTTCACAGTACCCTATGTAGAGTGGCTGCGCCTGGACACCACGCCTGGAAAGAGAGCGGAAAGGTGGCGTCACACAGAGCCCACGGTGAGGTCTGAGGGGTCGGAGAAGCGCAGGGTGGCCATCAGTGTCCCACTTCAGGCGTGACAAGGGAGGACGGGTTTACATCTTGTGCTTATAGACTCGGGTTTTCGCTCACGTGTGAGAGCGTGGGGTAAGGGGAGGTCTCCGGGAGCAGCGGGAGGGGTGGCAGTAGCTGGCAGGTCCCCCGATCCCCAGCACGAAGCCCTCTCCTCGGCAGCGCCACCAGCCCACGCTGGCAGCAGGGGCTCTCTCCCAGCGCTGCACGAAGCAGGCGCTGCCCACGCACACGCAGGAGAGAAAAAGCTCAAGATTTTCCATAAAAACAAGGGGCATTTTGCATGACTGTGCCCTCATGGCCCTCCCCAGGACTGAACCCTGGAGATGGGGGCCTTTGCGCTGTCCCCATGAGAGGAACGGTTACCCCAGAAGGAGGAAGGTTACCCAAGGAGCTTGCAGCGGAAGTCAGCCAGTCGCACGTAGGCGTCCTGCAGGTCCCTGACGGTCGCGTTACTCCACAGTCTCTCGGCTACGGCCCCAGCTCTTGGCCTTGAAGGAGGATGAGAGGTGGTCAGATGGGGGAATTTTTGGAAGCTTTTCAGACAAAATCCTGAGCTCCCAAGCGCTTTTCTGACCTGCCAGGCGACAGGGACAAGCGCTGCGTGCAGACCAAACCCGCAGCCGTTTGAGCCAACCTCCTCGTGGCTACTCTTACCAGAGCCTGGGGGCCAGGTTAGTAACGTCTACGTATTCACCCCACATGCATGCTTCGCCACCAATCACCCGATCCTTCTGCTCAGGGCTGCCTGCCAGGGGACACAGCATTCAGGTGACGGTGTCTTGCAAGATAAGAGGGTGACTCATCATAGCAAGATACCCAGAGAAAGGGACAGAAGGAACACACCTTCAAACTTCAAGGGTTCCACCTGGTAGGCTGCCGTCCAGTCCTGTCCGTAGGAGATGCGGTTGAGGTACCAGGGGGCAGAGAGCAGAGCACGGTAGCCAGCCTTGGTGACGTTTGCCATCTCCTCCATGTAGGGCGGGGGGTTCTCCTTCCACACATGGATGATGGTGTCTGGCCTCACCTGAAGAGCACACATGAACCCCATGTACGGGGCGACTGCAGCACCAAGAGGAGAGCATTCTGACCCATCCACAGCATCAAACACTCCCATGAGGGGAAACTGAGGCAGGCGTTGCCTTGACCTTTGAGCCACTTCCCAGCACGGCACCCCCAGAGTGCACCAGTGAGTGTGGCTAGGGTGCTGGCAGTGTTCACCCCCGCACAGGGAACTGCATGGGGGAAAACAAGCAGCTCTCACCTTCACTCCGTTGTCAAACACCTCCTGCCACACGATATAACCTTTGCCAAGGGAAGAGATGATGTCTAGAAGCCTGGAAAGAGCACCAAGGTTTGGGTCATTCCAGTGATGCTCTCCACTCTTTGCTGGTTGCATACAGCAAACAGCACCGATATTCCCAACACCCACAGCAGGACGTGAAGGTACTTCAGAAGCAGAAGGGAGAAAGCACAGTCCTTCAAGGGACTCCTTTGTCCCACAATGCCAAGCTTTTTTGGTGGTCAATCTCCCAACAAAATCCAGCTAGGCTACTCCTGCTGAGGTGAGACACACTTGCCCAGACAGACATGCTCCCAAAAAAAGAGATCAAGTGTCCCTGAGACAGCAGATGATGTTTGTGCTGGTCACCTACTGCAAGCTCCAGGCCCAGGATGTAACCGTCCTTACCTCTGGATGTAAAATGACTCTAATTTTTTGTAATCTTCACCAAAGCCCATCTCCTTCATGAAGGCATGAATTTTTGGATTGGATTTCCTGTGTACCAAAGAGAAGAGAATAAAAACCACTGCATCCTGGCTTTGGAGGAAGGCCAGGATGTGGCCAAGTCCTTCCCTGGCTCAGATATTCCAGCACCAGCAGCTTCCCACAGCCACCATCACCATGAGGAGAAGGACAAAGATCTGCAGATGATCATAGCCAAAAAAGCAATGTGCTGAGATTCCAGTCCCAGATACCTCCCTGCCCACCCCAGTCTCCATCCAGACTGATCTCAGACTCACCAGCACGTGAAGTCCACCTCGTCACCACCGAGGTGAAGAAAGAAGTCTGGGAACACAGTGCCGACCTCTCCAAACAAACTGCTCACAAACTGGTAGGTGCTGTTAAGGATGGGGTTGATGGGCCCATAGGTCCCAGAAGGATCCTTGCCCAAATAGCAGGGAGTCAGGAGGCCTGGAGCACCTGGGTCATAACACAGAAGAGTGAGGAAGGGGCTAAATGTGGCTGTATGGCCCCATATAACCCACCCCCGACCCTCCTCAACATGGCCCAGGGCCTGCTGTGAAGACATGAGGCACAATCACAGCAGCAGAAACTCAATCTCTGGCTCGGGAAGCCTGATCTGATGGGGAGATCACAATCCACATTGTATGTTTATCTTGTGCTCCCCACCACACACATCTGCTGCCGCCGCCCCAAGTACGCACTCCTGGAGAGAGCAGCAGGGCTTTTAGACCAGGCAACATTTTCCTGGAGTTTCTTGCACTTCCAGACATGGAAGAGCAGGCACTTCCAGTCATCAGAGCAGGGAGCAGCATGCCAGGAGTGGAGCACAGCTGAGCAGAGCTATTAAACCCAGTTGAACTCAAGATCCTTGCAATGCCCATGATGCTGGTTTTGGCACAGCAGACATTCCCAAAAAAACACAGTTTGGACCCAAGAAGAGATGGAAACATTTTCCCTCTGGATTTTGTTCTAGAAGTTGGACCACTGGATCCTACTTCCCCAGGATGATGATTTCACAGAATGACAGAATCCCAGACCGTCAGGGATTGGAAGGGACCTCCAAAGCTCATCCAGTCCAATCCCCCTGCCGGAGCAGGAACACCCAGATGAGGTTACACAGGAAGGCATCCAGGCGGGTTTTGAATGTCTGCAGAGAAGGAGACTCCACAACCTCTCTGGGCAGCCTGGTCCAGTGCTCTGTCACCCTCACTGAGAAGTTTCTTCTCAAATTTAAGTGGAACCTCCTGTGTTCCAGCTTGTGTCCGTTACCCCTTGTCTTACCCCTTGTTTGCTCCTCCTCAAAGCCAGCCTGTGGGACACGACAGCCCACACCCCACTTTTGGGATCCCCTACCTCACCCTGGTACAACCACATCTCTCCTGGGAGCAGCAGCAGGCAGGGTCTGCTCCTCACCTGGCCCCCAGGAGAGGGTGTGCCCCGGGCTGTCAAACTCCACGATGACTCTGATGCCACGCAGCCGGGCGTACTCGATCACCTTCTGCACGTCGCTGGCTGTGTACACGTGGGTCACGGCATGGAAGGCTCCCTGGGGGAACACGGGAAACCTTGGCGCCTCGCTCAGGGTGCTGAGGAAGGGATCTGCTCGCCCTGGACTGGGCACTACGTGGTGATCGGGGTGGGTTACCTGCTTGCTGAGCTCTGGGAAGGTGGAGCTCTCGTAGGGGAAAGACGGGTCGTCCACAATGTGCCAGTGAAACACATTGAACTTGTTGTAAGCCATGACATCCTGGGAGGGAACAGGAACAAAGATGAACATGCCCAGATGGTTTTGAAAGGTCACCCAGCTTCCCACAGAAAGGAGACAAGGTGACTATGCTCCAAAAGGACAAGGCAGAGTCCCCAAATGCTCCCCAGGATCCAAGAGGGTTTCAGACCCTCTCTTCAAACACAGCAGCAAGCACAAATTGCTGCAGAGGGTCAGGAGAACAAAGAAAATCCCTGTTCTCCCTATAACTGAGCCAATGGTAGAGACCTGGAAGTTTAATTCTGCTTGGGATGAACACAAAACCACAACCCACCTTTGTCTAACCATGGCTGGGAAGAAGTCAGCGATTTCCCTTGCCTCAGCAACAACCCAACCTCAGGAAGTAATCAGGATTGCAGGAATCCAAGGTAGCACAGAGAAAGGGCCACCCAACTAAACCACCTCGTCTCCCAGCACAGGCACCCTACCAGAGTCTCCAGGATGGCTCTCAGAGGCAGGTAGTGACGAGAGGTGTCCAGCAACAGCCCTCGGTGAGCAAAGCGAGGAAAGTCCACGATTTCTGTCTTGTTGATGTAGTACTGCACACAGAGAGCACAAGAACTAAGCGAGCAGGACTCCAGGCAACACCACCATTAGCAGGAGAGAATCGGCATCACCTTTGTCCCCAGAGCCAGCAGGACAAGGAGGGGTAGCCTCACCGCCCAGCGTGCAAGCAAGCCAGAAAGAGCTGCGATGCTTTACCTGCTCCAAAGGCAAGGATCTGGCTGGGTTCATTAATTTCTACTTGGCCTTCGGTGAGGCTGTGCTGCACTGCTGGTAACCCCCTCATCCCGAGCATCCTGGCAACCCTCAGCCCATCCCCATGGAGGCAGGAGCATTATGGAGAGCCGACTGCTCCCAGGAGATAAAGCCAGGACTCACCGTGCCGTTCTCGTCTCTCCCAACGAGCTGGCTGAATGTTTCCAGGCCTGCAGGAAAACCACACACACTCTCTTTCTCAGTACAGATTCCCCCCAAAGGAACAGAGCTCAATTAAAGACAAGAGGCACAGAGAGACATCCCCACAGGCCTGGGGCAGGGAGAGCGGGAATGCCCGGCAGAAGGCACAGCTCACCTCTGAGAGCTCCCCAGACGGCATCCGCAGAGAGCAGCAAGGAGCCTTCCGAGACAGACAGCTTATCTGAAACACAGCATCCGAGGAGACAGCTCCCTGTTAGGTCCAACACACCATCACACGCTGCTACGGGCTACGATAGCTATGGGGTTGTAGCTGGACCAGGAAAGGTTTTCAGACTGGGCTGCACCCTGGGATGCCAGAGGACTGATTTTCGGGTTTCTTTTTCTGTTTTAAATCTCTCCCACTGCTTTATCAGCATCCTGAGGTAAACGGCTCCCTCCCTGCCTCAGTTTCTCAACACCACAGTGAGGACACGACCTCCCCAGAACTGGGAGTAAGTGCTGCACAGTGCGATTTCCAACTGATGGGCACAGAAACAGCTGCAATCCTGCTCCAGGCACTCTCAACCTCGATACTTACAGCTCTCCTTGGAGTCCAGGCTGGGAAACCCATCACAGCCCGGTGTGGCGACAGAGACGAGGAGCTGAGTGCAGGGCGTCTCCCAGGGCTGCTCCTTCTCTGCAAAGGACACAGAGCACAGACATCAACCCCACCCTGGCTCCTTTCCCTGCTTTCAGGCCACCGCTGTCCTCCCAGCCCAGCTAGTGACGGAGACGCAGGAGTACACAGATTTTTAACACAAACAGAAACAGGTGCCCCCTCCTTCACTCCCGAGTAAGCACATGGGTGCTCAGCGGGGGCTACGTTCGACAGAGGCAACCAGGAGCACACGAGCTGATCCCAACCTCCAGCATGGAGAAGGTGAGGAAGCCTCCAGAGGAGGTTTCACAGCAGAAGCTTAGAGGAGCACAAAAAGGAGAAACATCAGAGCCTGGCAGCAGTCCCCAAGGCTTCCTGGACACCAGCCCTTGCTCTAAGCAACAATCTCAGTGACTACACAAATCTTCTCTAGGGGCGATGAAGAGCTTCGTGTTTCCCAACTCTCCCAGCACTGGGAAAAAAAGGTGAACCCAAGATCTCTGCTACCCTACCCGCACTTCTCGGAAAGAGCAAAGAAACCCTATAAAAAAGGGTGGAGAATGAATCCGAGCGTACTGCAGAACTGGGCCACCTAAAAGGTCTCGTCCAGCATAGAAAGGCTCCCAACCACCTTCACCTTCTGCAGAAGTGAGCAGGTCCCAGGCTCAGCAGCTGGAAAAATAAACCCAGACACATTCTGGCCCCAAGCAGGAACTCTGGCCACACTTCCTGATCTGAAGGAGCATTTCCAAGGATGCACAGCCCCAAATCCTCACTGGAGCCGCTCCCCCAACTCCGAAGGGAGGTGTTCAGCCTTCAACAAGACACACGGGTCTCCTCGCGGCAGTCTCTGGCCAGGAGGAGTGTGGGTTAGCTGGGTGGGAGCCTGCTAATCACACCCAAGGTCCATGCCTACACCCCCGCAGCCCTCCCAGGAACAGCACAATATGGTCACCGAGAAATAAAAAGCTTGGCTTTGAGCGAGCCTGGTCAGAAGCCAGGCACCAAGCAGGCTTTGAAGATACCGTGGCACCACCACTGTTCAGGTGAAATGCAGAGCTCCAAAGCTCCAGAGCTCACAGGAGACATAAAACCCAGATTTCTCCATGAGGGAATGGCAAAACCTCCACAGAGAGAAGGGAAACTGCTCGAAGGTAGTCCTCAGCTCTGAGCTTTCCTCTCTGTTACAGACAAGCTGGTAGCCAAGGCAACCTCGCAGATGTGCGAGCTGGCACGGCACGACCGTCTCCCTCTGCTCAGCAAGGCAACAGCTCACCAGGGACAGCCACTCTCAAGCCTGGGGACATATGAAATACTCATTCTGCTGAGAATGAGAACCTCACCAGAACTGGTCCCACCACCATGCACCAAGTTTAAACGCACCCATGGAGGCGTCACCAAACGCTACCTCCTTGGCCAAGCAGGCAGACATCAGCACTACCACACCTAGAAGGTGATGCAGGTGGGTGCAGCAGGGATCGGTGATCCATCAACCACAGCGGCCGAAGTCCACGGTTCAAAAGGGCGCTGTGAAGGCACACGTCAAGTTAATTACAGTTGCAGTGTGGAAGATGAGGACCCCAACGCAACGATCGCAGCAGGATGGCAGCAATAAGACAGCAGGGATGGGAGGTCCTAGGCTGAGCTCCACACAGCTTCTTGGGTCTCTCCCAGACTCATTTCAGAGCTGCCCGGCTTAATGACAAGAAACAAGGGAGGAGCAGCAAGGGAAGTCCCAATTAGAGATAAATAAAAAAAGATGTTCTTCACCTTGAGGGTGGTCAAACACCACAGCAAGGTCTCAGTTCTCCATCCTTAGAAATAACTGCAATTTCAGTTATTGCAGTTATTATCAAACTGCAAAGTTGGCTCCAACTCCTGGTTAGCTCCATTTTGAGCAGGGGCTCGACCAAAGACCCCCATATGTCCCTCCCAGCTTAAACTGGTCTCTGTTCTCATGCTTGAAGTCCAGGATGAATGGACTTTGGACCTTGCTTGCTTGTTAAACTGACATAGCAGCTTTCTGAAACAGACAGAAAATTGTTTCTGTTATTTTGTCTCTTAATAAAAGCTATTTTCCTTCCATACAAGGTTTCCATTGCCTGTTATTACTAACCACCCATGTGGAAAAAAAATGCAAAGAGGGGAAAAAGCCCTAAAATTAACCACATACTTTGAGTGTCATAAAGCAAGGCCTATGGAAAGCCGTAAGTACACACACAGAGCTCAATCTCGTGATCACAAGAAGTTGCTCCAAGTGATTTCACAATCACATTTCCCCTCTGAGAGGAACAGGAAAACGTGAATAATTATTATCAGCCATTTAAGCTTAGTTCCTAGCAGCAAAAAAAAAACAACCAAACAAACAAAAGGAGACTTCTCATCTCCTAAGTCAAGATTTATTTCTATTGCTACTTACAAGAGTTGAAGAAATAAAACAAGCCAAACTGTTCTCTGTTTCAAACTTGCCTTTGTCAAAGCACAATGCACTCGAGATGAAGCAGAGCTGCTTCCAACACCATCACCTTGCTCCGCTTTGATCAGCGGCGACAGAGTTCACGCTGACATTTAAAACACAGAAGCAGTTACGAGCTCTCCTTGATGAATGAAGCATTTTGTATTGCCCAGATATAGCAATTCAGGCTGCCGCAGACTCACACAGGAACCGAGCACCTGTATGTGCCGGCTCCCCAGCCTGTGTCTGCAAACATAGCCTGAAAATTCACCCTAGACACACAACATGCGCTATTATGAAGAAGTCCAGGCACAAAAAACCTTTGTAACCTGTCCCAAATGAAGCCCAAGCTCTCAAAGCTTTTCCTCATCTTACCCTATAATTCCAGGATGAATCCAAGAGTTACTACCTTGCTTTGCCAGAAAAGCCATGCTGCCTCAGGATGCTTAGCAGCTCACCTGAGGCAGAGAAAGCCCTATGGCACAAGTAGGTACTTGCCAGAAACACATGAAGGGAATAGAGTCTTTCCTCAAGGCAAAGCTTCACACTGGACACCAAGAGCTGCCAGAAACGGGAAGAGCCAAGACTTGCGAAAAGTGCTGAAGCTGGAGTGACTGCAACATCAGCAGCAGCTCTCCCTGCAGGCGCAAGAAAAGGAAGCAAAACGAAGAACTGGGGAGCTGAAAGTAGGTAAAAAGCAAGCTAGAAAGAGCAAGATCTTGATAGCAAAAGAGTAACTACATGAAAGAAACGCAAGATGAAGCGTGCTCACTGTGCCAAACAGGATGAGATTTTATTTCACACGTGTGTGCCACAGGCACTGCCCTTCACGAATGAGCGCAATGCTGCCTTTTGCTACCAGATGCAATCCAAGCCACCGCACCCCAGGCCACGGCCACCATCTTCCCTCACCACTAGCCCCTGCTGACCCAGGGAATTCAAAAGCACAAAACCCGCAGTTGGACCCGCCAAATAAACGAGCGTTTGGTTTTGTGGAGGGGTTTCAAAGATAAAGCAAGCGCCGGCCGCGCACTCAGCCTCGGGAGGCCACA